TGTTATTAGCATTGTATCAGAACAGTGTGTGTATGTGTACCCTTCCTCTTCATAAGTACATTTTGCACCATATTAATTAGAATGAATAGCAGAAAGCATGTTAAATGAATAAGAGTACACCACCTTATATAAAGTTTTATCTAATTGCTACATGTACTGCTTAAAGAAATAAAGAAATAGTATGCTTGTTATTCATACTGATTTGGGCTGAATAATGAAATAGGAACTTATGTCACATTGTTTGATAGGAATGAAAATATAATAACCTACAGATGGCTTAATTCTAACACACTCCCAAAATCAAATTGAAATATGATGGAGCTAGTTTATTTTGCAAAAAGTTATGACAGCAACTCCGAATGGTTCTCAGTAGTTTGTTTGCAGAATGCCTGACAACATTGTAGAATCCTCCTAAAGAAACAACAGGTGGTGTAGGTGTTTTTAACCAAATATGGATCAGGGCATCACTGAGCTCCTGGATGGCCTAAGGTGCAATCTGGCAGTGTCTGATATACCAAAACAATGCCCTAGAAGTGTTCTATTGGATTTAGGTCAAATGCTGAGACCATTGAATAGTATTAGTTCATTCATCCTCCAGGAACTGCCTGCATGCTCTTGCCACATTTAGTCAGTCATTGTCATGCACCTGGAGAAACCCAGGACACTTTGCACTAGTGAGGAGGCTGGCAATATGTCTAAAGATTTCATCCCAATACCTAATGGTAGTCAGGATGTGATTTTCTAGTTTGCAGAAGTCCTCTATGTATATGCCTCCATAAACCTTCATTGACCCACCACCAAATAGGGCATGCTAAACAATGACCAGGCAGCATAATACAGGCAGCACGATATTCTCTATTGAACCGTTTCCACTAAGTGGTACGGTACGGTTGGTATGCTTGGTATGCTTTTATGGCTGTTTCCACTGTCAAAAGGCGTACCGAACCACTTTTTCGGCACCCACTCGAAAGGGTACTAAACACGAGAAAGGGTACCAAAAGGTGGAGCTAGACGCGCAGCAGAACGCTATTGGTTCACAGAGAAACGTCATTCGCTTACGCAACAAGCCAGAATAAAAACAAAAGAGCTGCTATGTTTAAAATACACAGCCAAGAAATTACAGCCTAAATATATATACATATAATAACGAGCCATGGTCGACCTGGGCTTAAACAAACCTTGCCATTATCTTGATGAACAGCCACAAAGCCAAAAAGAAGAGCAGATTTACCCTGTGCCCCTTAGTTTTTTACGAGCCAGTCTGAATCGCAAGTGGTTTCGCCTTCTTGCTTGGGCTCGCCGCGCGTCTATCTGAAATAACAAACTTCTTGAGCTGATGATAATAACGTGCGCTTGATTTTTGACGTGCTTTTGAAACCTGATCCTATCAGAAAATGACAAACGCGAGAGTGACATGTGAAAAAATAAAGGAGAAGCCAGAAAAAAAGGAGCACATTATTTTTTCAGCAAACGTGAACAAACTGCCATGTTGAACTATTATCATCACCTTTTGGACTATTATGAACTCAGAATAATGGAAGGACTCTCTATCCGAGGCTACAAGTGCTGCTGAAGATTACAGACACAGATTGCACTGACTATTGCCTTTATTTTGTGTTGTTTTTGTACCTAAATAACACAGTAATGTAATGTAATGTGTATTTATAAAGCACATTTATTGTGTATGGCCACACCCAAAGTGCTTCACAATCATGGGGGGGGTCTCTCCACACCACCACCAGTGTGGAGCATCCACTTGAATGATGCAACGGCAGCCACAGGACCGCACTAGCGCTCACCGCACTAGCTATTGGTGGAGTAGAGAGACAGTGGTAAAGCCAATTCAGTGGATGGGGATGATTGGAAGGCCATGATTGTAAGGGACTGTGGGACTTTGGCCAGGGATTATTACACCCTAAGGCTGATTTATACTTCTGCGTCAAACGCCGGCGTATGCTACGGCGCTGACGCATAGCCCTTCGCCGTGGCCATCGCCGTCACTGACGTGCACCTCTCAAAAAATTTAACTACACGTCGCAACGACGCGTAGCGTAAGCTCTGTGATTGGTCGGCTTGGTAGCGCTGACGAGTCTGGGTGGGACCGAGAGCCGCGTGAATGGCGCGAGCGATTGTTTACAAGTGTGGAGTACCGTGAAGGAGCTCCGGATGGAAAGTTTTGTTTTGTGTTTACCTCATAATTAAAGTTATTGCACGTCCACCGGTTCCTGCCTCAAAATGAGCGAGTTTGAGCCACTTGTACATCCTGGAAGTGTTCAGGAAAAGCAAAACAACAGCGAAGAAACTCCACACAGAGGAACATTAACACCTCACTGCCAACTAGCGTTTCGGAAGTGTTAATGCAGACCAACAGAGACAGCGCGCAGAAGTATAAATGCACAGCCACGCGCGTTGCCTGCGCCGTGGGTTACGCCGGTCACTTGACGCAGAAGTATAAATCAGGCTTTAGTCTTTACGAGAAGTGTCATGGTATTTTTAATGACCACAGAGAACCAGGACCTCAGAGTGCACTTATCGTGTATGGCCATACATCACAGCGCTTCACAATCATGAAGGCGGCCTCTCCCCACTAGCATCCACTTGGATTATTGGGAGGCAATGATGGTTAAGGGACAAGAGGAAATTTGGCAAGGACACCAGGGTTACACCATTACTCTTTACGAGAATTGCCATGGCATTTTTAATGACCACAGAGAGTTAGGACCTCGGTTTAACATCTCATCCGAAAGATGGCGTCCATTGACAGTATGGAGTCCCCTTTCACTATACAGGGGCATTAGGACTCACACAGACCACAGGTTGCCTCACTAACACCACTTCCGACAGCAACCTAGTTTTTCCATGTGGTCTCCAATCCAGGTACTTACCAGGCTCAGCCCTGCTTAGCTTTTGTGAGTAACTGGTCTTGGGCTGCAGGGTGGTATGACTGTGGCATATTGCAATTAAGCTCTTACTCTAATTATTGGAAATATTTGTAAATGTTTGTGAATGACAGTGAAAGCGCTAAACTGCAGTTTGACAAATGAAAAATGAAACAGCCGAAATTACATGAAACTACGGAGGAAATGCAGATAGTGTGGTGACGCAATGACGTTAATCGAATTAAGTGCTATAACATGTGGAACAGGATCATACATTTATACAACTCACACCTTAGTCTTATTATTCTCTTAACTAGATTAAAGAAAATAATTTAAATACTGATGTCCATGTAAACGTGGTCATTGTTGTCCATCTACTTATTTTCATTAACACTAAAGGAGCTCAAATTTTCTAACAACTCCCCTCCTAATATACTGAGCAGATTAATATCCCAAATGTTTAACTGACTTAATGCTATCCTTTGATTAAAAAGTGTTGTTTTTAGCAGTGTATAAAATATTAATATTACACAAAACAGGGTACATTTTACTCAAGTTCATTGCCCCTGTAAAATAATCCAATCTCAGTTTTATTTACAAATTAAGTTACATTTTAATTGTAGATTGTATGTTTTACAGTAAATGTAGTTTAGCCTGTACATAACTATTAAGTCTACTTTTAAAAGGCTATATAAACGTTGTTAAGCTGGAGGAAAACGAAGCACTGTGACAGTATTATTATGTGGTTATGTGTTTCCCTTTCACTTGAGAGGTTCTGTCTTCCTGCCACATGGCCGGCCATTTGTCATTCCCACAATCCCTCGCGACTACCTGTAGCCACTCCTGAGGACAGCTCTTTTTATGATCTCAGTCACCTGACTCAACCTTGGCAAGTAAATGTAACAGGACACAAGGTCAGCCAGCCCACATACACACAACCCTTTCAACCTAGACATTATAATTCAGTATTAATGTACAAAGGCCCACTGCACAGGTAAACATAAACCAGGGGGTTACATACATGTCACGAATGCTCCCGCACAGCACACTTCAATAGTCAAAGTTAGTTTTATATTCGCACATTCCTTCATTTAGCAGTCTCTATATTGGTTACCATGTTACGTTAAATGTTCGATCGGAAGTAGCATGCAAGTATGACTTCTAAACAACATTACCATTATCTAATTCATTGTGAAAAATACTGTACTTTGTTAAGCATTAGCTGCTAATATGATTTCCCCATTTAGAATTTGCACAGAATACTTTACTGAAATTATATTATTAAGGAGAATGTCTGAATATCCGAATATAAAACCAACTTTACCTCCATAAACTCATGTCTCAATTGATTTAGAAGTGTTTGACAAAAGAAAACAAACAATTTCAAGCAACCTGAAACCTCTTAAACAATTGATCAATCGAACCAGTCTGTGTCACCTGGACTTTACAAGTATCTATTTCTTTTTGTACAAAAGTTATCCTTTAAATCGTATGTTCACAAAACAAAGATCGCATTTGCACTTTTTCGTTCCAAATATTTAGCTACACACGTATACCGAGCGAGGACAATCATAAAGTAACCTGTAAACAAAATGACTCGTGTTGTTTAAAGTCATTTTGTAACATCGATGTCATTACTGATATGTCAGCAACTAGTGTGGCGTACAAATATGAAACGTAAACATGTCAAAACAATAATTTAAAGGCGGATGTGTCGTTAGTATTTTTCAGCAATCTGACACACCCTGCAGTCTTCATTTGAAACACCCCTGCTTTCTCAAATCAGCGAACTAGGTATTAGACAAACACTTAAAGTGTTGTCTAGGTGGACAGCAAGCTAAAATTTGACACAGTCAGTAAGTTACTCCCTATCGAGGCCTGTGGACGAGCTGTCCAACTGTTGCATCTTCAAGAGATCGGGCAGCTCCAGACAACTCGACCACATTTAACATACTTTAAACATAATGCAAACCATGTTTTATTATATAATGTCCACGGACTTGGACACGCTTCGATGACAACCAGTATGAAAATATCACATCCTGAAACCACCAACCGGAGAAAATGCAACTTAATCCGTTTGACTACATCAAGCAACTTCAAAAACCCAGCAATACGTACCAGCTGTTCAGATCACTAGAGTACAACACGCTGACATGTAGGCAAGTTGTAACTTGCAGCCCGTTCACTCCGTTTCGAGCGGAAATTAAACGTCCACTTAGTGCGAGCGCGCCGTGTTTAATCCTGGAAACTTTGTCTGTCCAGCGCTAGACTGTACGGCAGCAAATAGGCGCCATGTTTGTGTTTTGTTACTTTGGTGTGCTCTCGGGTTTCTCGGACTGACTGCTGGAGGCGGGTGAACACGCCCATGCGTGACTGGCTGCACCACATTTCTCTTCCGCTCTGCACTTCTGACTTATCTATAGGCTAGTGCGCTGCGCATCAGGATTAACAGGTGCCTGCTGCTTTTCCACCTTTCAAACCATTATAACATCTGTATACTATCATTGTGCGTCTTGGTTGTACATTTAAACAAATAATAATCAGAAAAGGAAAACAAATGCATTTTAATACTCCGAGATAACCAGAAATAGCAAAAAGAGGTTTATTACACATTAACAAAATACACATTTGAGACAGTTTTACAATTTGTACATAAAGTTCAGTACAAATGACGTAAGAGTTCACATGGTTCAGAAAAAAAATTAAGTTAGTAGACAATAAAATGGTTATTGCAAAAACACACGACAGCAGTGTGCAAAATTTCATTCAGAAGACCAATATGTAAACAATTACAGTTGTTTAAGACACATTAGTATTCATCAAGATTGACATTAACTAAATTGGGAAGGGTAAGATTTTCAGCACGAGGAGGAGAAGAAAGACTCTCAAGTCTGTCTAAATCAAGAGAAAAATGGTCAGTTGTCCAGTGGCTCAAATCTTTGCTCATACTTAAATGTACTGGGGAATCTTTAAAAACAGATTTATCTGAAGAAGCCCCCAAACACAGTTGTTCTGTCAGTTGGGGAGTTTCATCAAGATAACACAACCCAACAGATGGCAAGCAAAGTTCTTCATCCCTCGCTTTTTCACCAGAATTCTCAACAGAGCTGTCGCTGTTAAATGATACATCAAACAGGTCTGGGGGCTCCTCTTGAGCAATGCTGAATTTAATAACATCACTTGAGCATTGACTGGTAAGCACCTCCATTTGTGAGGAGTCCCACGACAAAGTTGAGTGAAGGGTAGACCCCTGCTGGACAGGAGGAGAAGTGCAATTGTCAAGATTGGTTGAAAAAGACATGGAAGACTCTAAATTTAGGGTCTTGCACGGGCTGTTCATATTAGCCATGGGTGTCTTGAGCCAAGAAAGGCTGTCTTGCTGATTCCAAGACGCTTGTTTCTTCTCAGCCAATCCTTCCTCCACAGCTTTTCTCCATGAACTTCTGACATCTTTAACTAAAAGATAGTTTGTGTTAAAATCCAAATGTTTAAACACAACATTTCTAATAAAGTAGAGAATACTACATGTTTAGGCTACCAAACACATACTTAGACTCTCAGGAGTGCGGCAAAGTTGTTTCCTAGATGAAAAGGGATCCGATATGGCATTTAGTAACTGTCCAAGGTCTACATCACTTCTTTGATTACCTGGACTCATGATCACTGCATCTGCAAACTGAGAACCAAACCGTAATTAGGTTTGGGTACATTTGCATTAACAAGTATGTAAGACTGTATGTCTGCCCCGTATCTGTCCGTGGCGATTTCTCTCAACTCGCACCGGTCATCAGAGAGCAGGTTTGATATAGGGAAAACTTGTGAAGGGTAGAGTACTGCTTAACACTGCCCTTGTATCAGTTTCCCACTGCAAAAAATGTAAAACTACAACCCACCACCATAGCCAGTTTAGTTGGTGCTACATGGCATAATTTTTATGTATTATTATACTGCAACGAAGCAAAACTTATTTAGTCAAAAACACACACATACTTGACTTGCCAAGTTGTCACACTCTAAGTCTAGAATTTGAGCCTTGGTCTTTAATACAGAGGCCTTTGGCTTGGAGTGCAGATTTGTGTGGCAAGGCTGCAAAAGAGAAAAACGAAAACTAAAATGTTAAAATCAATACCACAACAATTTTATAAACATCCAAAAAATGATTAGCTTCAACAACGCAAACTCATATCTAGTACAACAAGCATGCATTCCATTACTTGCATGGAATTGTGTGCATTTTATAGTTACAGCCTCATCAACCTTGAAATCTGTCTTTTTTATTGGATCTAAAAACAAATTCGAGTAAACTATTGTGCTGCTAAACATGGCATAAATTAAATAGCAAATTACAAACTACAGACAGTTCTGTACTCAAAGTAAAAAGTAAAATAAACTTTTACTTTACCCCAACTTGTTAAAAAAAGTAGATGTTTTTATTTGTGTAGCAAACAAAACGTGTCATAATGTGCAGCCTTTCATCCATGCATGCAAGGATTGCTGGTCTCTGCAGACATCTCTATGGAGAAAACTACCTGTTTTGGACTGGGTGTCTCAATCACAGACAGAATAGTTTCACATGGTGGTGTCCCACAAGTCACATGTTCTGGTGAAAAGCAGCTATCAGAGGGCACAAGGACATCCTGATCTTCAGTTGCCACAGAAGATCTGTAAATAACGTGTTTTGATGTATTGTCACGCAAACAAGATCTTTTCTGAAGTTTTACCATCTAAAAAAAACAAGATAAAGTTGTACCATACATTTTGATCTCTGGCTTCAGGTGAACTTCTTGTTCCAAATGAACGACTGCCACTGTGGTATCAAGTTTTTCTTTTGATGGCTGCTCAAGCAGGTCTTGAAAGCAAGAGAAAAAAAATTTGCAGCATCTCTATGGGGAAAAATATTATTCAAGGAGCAACTTGAGCTGTAAACTTACCATGTGGTTTACATGGATACTGTGAAATGACACTAGCCTGAAAGCTAGCCTCAGAAGCTGGCTCAAATGAGAGAGCAACCATTGGAGATACTAAGTCAAGAACCTGTTAAGAGATGCAGAAAACTGATCATTTTAAAGCAAAAGAAACTAAACCAAATGTGTTACTTCTGTAAAATCTGACACAAAAGAAACCAGTACCCTAAACAACCTTAAAAAAATGCACAACATAGAAATAAAACAAGAAAAGTTGTTGTGACTCCACTTACAGGATCCTCTTCAAGAAAACACGTGAGGGGTGTATTTTTCAAACAGTTTGCCCACTTGCACTCCCATTCTTCCTCTAGCTTCCCAATGGAAACCTTGATCTCTGCTGCATCTTCTTTGACCAATTTCCACCTAGAAAAAAAAGTAAAATAGTAAATTTTCACAAAAACCATTTAATCTAATCAATAGTTTGATCAATATTGAGCTTAATAATTAGTAAAGGTCCCAAATTCACTTTGTCCCTTCACATACCTTTATATTTCAGTAGACTCTTAACACAGAGGGCGTGGTCACAGATTTAAACTAGCAACTCATGAATTAAACCTGATGTTGATCAATTAACTCACAGCTGACAGTGATTTTCAAATCCCTGGTTTGTTCATTTATTTTTTTTTATTGTGTCAATGTAATTCAAACTAGTTCTGATTGATGGTTGATTTAAAAAAAAAAAAAAAAGTTTGTTTTACCTTTGTTACTTTATGGTTTAAATAAATTACAAAAACTAAACTGAACTGTACCTCACCATCATTACAACACTTTTTCTAAATATAAAAGGCAAATAAATGACAGGTATATTTATTGTTACCTTATAAGATTGAGGTTTTCTTTTGAGCGTGTGAAAAGCAATGCATGCTCCTGGACATCTTGGTTTTGAAGCTGTACACTCGGCCCTACAATTTTCTCTCTCTCCTCACGAAGAACGTGTAATCCTTCATTCAAAAGTGCCAGCAAACGCACAAGGACAGGCTGCCCTCCCTCATACAACCTAACAGCACTGGACTGTAGAGACAGAATGTACTGTTATATGTCCGATCTCCAAAATTAGAACGCTGAAGTTTTCCTTCACAATTTTTGCATGAAGCGCTCACCTGGTGGGATAGACGTTCCATCCTTTCACGCAAAGCCGCAGGCATCTTTACATTCAACTCCTGTCCACACAAGATGTACTGGTCCACCTGTCCATTGATCACACTTGCCACTATGTCTCGCTTTCCTTGATGGTTGGATAAGAATCTGTCTACCTCATTCCAAAGGCCTCGCAGCTAATAGTACCAAAATCAATATGATTAGAATGAAAACAAATTACAGTAATATATTCATAAAAATTATATTAGTAAAAAAAAGACAATAATTCTTATAAATTAAACCTTCTGGACTTTTGCAAGAATGACTTCTTTCAAATCTGTGATGCTGTCATGTTCTCTACAAGCAAAAAAATAAAGTTAAGTGAAGTAAAATGATAGACATCTATGCTATTTCTGTTTATTTGAGAAGTGTCAATAATGAGGTGCTTACTTAAGCAGACTGTCATATTTGGCATTCTCTGCATCAAGGTCCCTCAAAGACTTTTCCAAAACTCTGGGGGTAAAAAAGACATGGTTGCACATGTAATGCTGGCTTACATAGTAGGGGAAAAAAAACTGTAAAGACAGCTTAGGTGTAATGATGATCTAAAAATACACCAATTAATTGGCTGATACAATACAATCTCTTCCTTATATGGGGAAAGCCTGAAACATAAGCAGTATCATTAATTTTTATTCCTTTTCCTGAATCAGGCCCTTCTGACCTGAGCAACAAGACAAGCACATACTACAGTAAGAGCACCTTGCCTCAGACTCAGACATTTAAGAAGAGGCAAAACTTTGGAACTAAATTCCTGTTCATGCACAGTGAAAAACAGCTTGTTGTTGTACGGAGGTTTAATAGGTGACAGAGACACAACTTGAAGTGTAAAAGAGAGAAACAACAGTGTTTCTGCAGTGGACTTGCTATTCTTTTTCTGACCAAAAGGTCACAAAGAGCAAGTACTCCTGAACCGAAGTCTGCGATAACTAGTCTAAGATGCTCTTGAGTAGGCACCATAACGAGTTGCTCATGTCAGCACACACTCAAAGCACACAATGCACACATTTGTACAAGTACATGTACAACCTACAAAATACTAAGAAAAGTTCCCAATTTTAAATTATTTGGGTTCTTTGAAGGTATTATAAAACTTTTTTTCAAAAACATGTTTAACATGTTAACATACTCTGGTATTTATTTTCAAACAGTTTTAATCTGACCTACAACATGCACTAAAGACTAAAATATTTTTTAGGATTATTGTTTGATACAAAATTTATAGTTACGTTAACATTCATTCATTTATTTGCCAAGTTTA